CAGGAATGGAAAATTTGCAGGGTTCAAAAATTGCCTTAGCTACTCATTCATTAATCCAACAAATATTCATTGAGTGATTATTATGTGTCAGGCTCTGTAAAATGATTCTAGCAGCAACAGTGATAAAAGGATACAGTCACTGAGTCCAAATATTACAATTCAGAGAGGACATAAACCTGTGAATGAGGAATTCTAGTTTACTAGGATATTTTCTATTATATACAATGAAGAAGTTACTGAATAGAGAATCTAAAATCTTGGGGTTCTGCAAGAAGCTAGGAAGCATAAAAAGATGCTTACAGAATAGTTAATGCTCGGATTCTCAAGCACAAAGATGTAGAAAGAAATAAGAGAAAGGGCATTCCCAACAGAAGGCACAGTACTGAAGAAAGATAGGAAGGTAAGAACAGCGTATTTTCTGAGTTACAGGTAACTCGGTATGGCTAAGCATAAGGCATTGGTGGAAAGATGGTAAGAAACGGGGGTGACAAATAGGCCAAGGAGTTCAGAACTCTAGTGATTGAGGAATCTTTAGAGAATTTTGAACAAGGTTGTTCATTATTCTATGTCCGCGTAGTTCATAGATGAAGCAGTAGCAAGTCAAGGCAAAAATGGAAATAATTCTACATGCTTGCTTATCTTACAGGATTTTTATAAATATTAGATGAGTTATAGATGTAAAAAAATAGTCTGAAAACTATAGCACTATGGAATTCTAAAAATTAGAGAACTGCTCATTTAATACGTCCGCACTTCATTTAAATAGTCACGGCTGTAGAATTGATTTACAAAAATGTTTGCTTCAAGTTAGGCTTAGAGTGGGTACCTTTTTTCTCTAGGTACCATTTCCTAATCTCCCTTAACCTTACCTGTCCCTTATTAAATGTTAGTGTCCCAAAAGTACTCCACTCCCTGTCCTTATCACAATGCTCTCTATCTTGGGTAGCTTATGTCCTTGATCTTTTCAATGGAATGTGCCATTAAAGCATCTTATCAAAAGCTGTAAAGAAAATCCTTATAGGGAGAACCCAATCAGGATATGTATTTGTGATTTGTACTGCCCTAGAGAGATGGCCCCTGCCTTTGATGTCAAGGATGATGAGAATTTTCAGGGGCAATAATAGAGGGGAGAGATTTATATCTGTAGTTTCTTGTACAAACCTGAATGCTTATCTACGGCCATACCAAGACCCTGTAGACAAAGAATACTCTTCTTTTATTCTCTTATAAATTTTATCCACCCCTATTGTGTTGACTGGTGATATAAGGGGAGGGTAGACCGGTGAGGGAGAGGGCTAAGCTTAGAAGAGCAGCTGCTGCCTGATGGATGAAGGAAAGGGACAAAGTGTGACTGTGTAAGGGGAGGGCAGTTCTGACAATGTGTCGGTATTTAGCTGAGGCAGTTCATTTTCATCTGGACTGTAAAGGCCAAAGAGACAGAGTTCTAATAAACAATGTACCGTGGCGGTGTGATTGCAGAAAATTAAGGGAATTTTGCTAGGAATTCTATTTAAGCAGAATGTAGAAGCTGGAGCAGGATCTCAGCCATTGTAAATTGGTAGAGGCAGAATAGAGAGTAGAACCCAATTAGCTGGCTAGAAATTAGCAGAACGTCTGTGCAGCTACGGCCTGCTGGTGGGGCAGGGGATGTGTACGGAGTGCCCAGATTGTTCCCACCTGAGATACCTCCAATGCAACGATGAAGTACCATCTCATCCATACTAAGCTCTAGGGCAAGTGACAACTTCCTAGCCTTCCCATTACTCTGGGAAGAAATGGATTCACTACTGTTAACTTCTACTTGAGGGCTGGTGCACGCCTGTGGTATCAGGAAACACAGCACACTTGTTATGCACCTGAATAGCTGGAGTGAGACTGAAGCAGGCAAGGAAAATGTTAAAAATATATGTGCCTGATGTGACACCTTTTTTAGATGCTTTTAATTTTTCTTTTTTTTTTTTTTTCAGTTTTCTCAAGAAAGACCTTTTCTGGGAGATGCATCTATTTCCCAGCCCTTATCCACATCTTATTAAAGCCCTTTGCTCTTTTTAAAAACTACTCATCTTACTTTTGTATTACACATTCATCTCTCTGATGTGTGTATCCCCAATTAGATTAGATTGTGAGATCCAAGAGAGTAGAAATTGTGTCTCATTTCCCCATGTACACTCTCGAATTCATCACAATAAATATCTATAGTCTTTTTTTTTTCCCCCATCAATAATGGCATTGGAGTGAGAGAAATCAGCTCTGTATAAAGGCCAGAGAAGTTATTAGAGGAGATTTGTTTAGAGAAAGAGGCAGTATTATTCCCATTTTCGTAGGTGAGAAAAATGAAAGTTTAAAGATAGGAAATAATATGTCAAGTTATAATGCTTTCAGCGTTTATAAGTAGGGTTTGCCTTAATTCTATTTTTGAAGAAAGCATATCTATAAACAAATTAAATATATCCGGTACATGTAGTAATCTGGATCTAAGATAAATCTCCTTGAATCTACAGCCCACAGCATTTCCACTCTGTGGCCTACATTTCTTAAAGTAGAGAAAGGTAAATTGGAACTTGTAAAATTTCCTTTCTTTCTCTTTTTTTTTTTTTTTGATTGACATATTTTTGCTATAGGGCATGTGTGCTCTCCAGAGAGACAGACAGAAAGCAAGAAATCATCTCCCGGGGGGATAGCCATGCTGCAATCCCTTTTTTCTACTCTTCTCTCAAGATCCCGGGCATGCACACATGTGCCTGATGTGAGTTTGAAGCCGCTGGGTCTGAAGTCAAACCGTGGTTCACCACATGGGAGTCTAGCTACATAACCATTACACCATCTGTTGGTCCCAGAACTTGCAATACACTTTTAATGGAGGTGATAAAAAGCTCTTAAAATTCCTAGCTAGAAACCTGAGATATGTAGTTTTTAAAAATCCTTAAAATTCCAACTTTGTTTAAACATAATTTGGTTTTCTAAAATAATAATCCCACACAAACACTGCACTCCCCCACCCTGCCCTCTGAAATCAGAACTTCTTTCTATTGGCAATTTCTGGTGGTGCTTCTTAACCTATATCCCCTCCATTGCCCTGAGACCTCCTTGTAGGTCTTCTTAGACAAAAGCAATTTTCTAAAGTAAGTATAATAGTGACGGTTATCCCCAGTATCTTCCCACTAAAAGACATCTAAGCTGTCAGATATTAAAGTGATGACCTTGTGAAAATTTTGAAGTGCTACTTAAAAATGTACCAAAATAAGTAGGAGCTTATATCATAAGTACATTACAAAAACTTACCAATAGGCAGGCATCATAAATGAACAAGAATGTGGGCTAGATTTTTTTCTTGACATGTACAAAAATTTTTTTTTCAGTAAATGAACATGAGGCATATATGCACAGATAGAGGGATAGAAGCAGAATTTGATGACAACAAATACATGGTTTTATATTAGTATAGCTTTACTTGCTTGTGCCCGTAATTCCCAATATTTGATTTATTTTTTTAAGATCTCCAGCCCCGATGATGGTTTTGAAAGTAAATCACTTTATGAAAGCTGGTTGCAAAAAGACCCATCACCTGAAAATAAAGATTTTCCTAGGTAAGTTACTTACACTTGTCTATTCTACCATAGAATAAATTATGAATTCCTCTTTGCTTCTTGTCTCTATAAACATGTGATTCTCATCCATAATTTGAATAGAAAAAAGATAAAGAAGGTAAAACATTCCTTTGTCCAGCCTTTGTTGTGTTGATTAGCCAGCATAGCAGTCTTTTAACCTATAATAAAGCACAGATCAGTTTAGCCCTGCAAATTTTTAGTCAAAATTATTTTGTTATGCTGTTAGTTGTTATTTAGCATTCTTGCAGAAAATTTCATTCAGATGGATATTAGATGCATTAATAAATAATATAACTTCAAATGAAGATGAAGTAAAACACAAATGATGGATTGCTTGCTTCTAAATTTAATGAGAGGCATTATAAATACTCATTAAATTATGTCTTAACCTAAGGTCAATTTAAATTTTATATGGATATTAATTTATTTTTACCTCTTCTCATTTGTGCTATGGCAGCTTCCTTGAAGATATTTTTCTTCCTTTTCTACCGCAGTTCTGTTTCTGATATCAGCAGATGATGACAGCAGTTCACAGTGCTGTTCCTTATCCAACTAAGTCTTGTGCACATTTAAACCTGTTTCCATCATAACGGTTCCACATGCTTATTAAAAAAAAATAGTAGAATGAAAAAGATTTCAAAAACGTTCAAGGTCTCAATCTCAAAAGTACATTTTATAAATTAAGAGTTTGGAAATATATATATATATTTATATACACACACACACACACACACACACACACACAAATTTAAGGGGTTTTTGCCACAGGGCACGTGTACCTGTCAGAAAGAGACAAAGAGAGACAGAGAGAGAAAGTGATAAATCACCTCCCAGGGAGATGGTCACATTGCAGTCCCTTCTCCTACATTCTCCTCCTGGGATTTTGATGGGCATGTACACTTACATGCCTGGCATGATTTTCAAGTTGCCAGATCTGGGACTCAAATCATGGTTGACCACATGGGAGTCCAGTGCCTTAACTACCATACCACTTGCTGGCCCCACATATTTATGTTCTTAATGCATATGTAACTTTATGTTCTGCTTTACTAATTTATCGTTTTATTACCACAAATTGTTCATTACATTTTATACACATAGATGTACACATATATTTATATGTATGTATGTGGGCACAGGTATAGTTGTGTGTGTATGTATATCTATCTATATCTATCTATCTATCTATCTATCTATATATATATATATATATAGTGGCTTATTATGTGGAAGCTATATTGTAATTAGATTTACTTCTAAAATAAAGTAAGACGTATTTAGATCCTTCATTAGCTAAATATAGGCTTACTCCTGGCAATTTCCCTATTAGACTCTAGTTGTCTAAGTATAAAGTCCCTGTCTCTGTCCCCCCCGCACCAAATGATTACCATAAATTCTGAAAATATGCAAGAGAGTATCATAATTCTTTAAAATGTTCCTTGTTATTCCTTGCTATTTGGAGGACAGGTTTCATTGTCTCTATTTAACTTTGTATTGGGTTGTTGGAAAAGTCATGATACTTTGTTCTATGCAAAATTTTTTATGCAAATTTTTTTCTTTTTGCACAGAACGAGTCATGACTTTTCCAACAATCCAATACTTCTTTGTGTGTGTGTGTGTGTGTGTGTGTGTGTGTGTGTATGTGTTTATATTTTACATCTAGAATCAATAAGCTGGGTTCTGGAAGTGATTTTGAAGCTTATTTTCAGAGACTTGGAATTGCTTCAGGCCGAGCCCGTTACACTAAGAATAAGGTAAGCCATTTTTCATTTTGAAGGTGTAGCATTTCATTCTCATTCCTTTGGTGAGGAACTCTCTCATTGCGTCATTTGGCACCAGATAAGGGCTGGATGTGTGTCCTGGGAAGAGTTTCAGGAATAGAGGTAGACTGTGTCCCTTTGTAGATGGACTAGGAAGTAATATGAGTTGCTTACTACCAGGGTTATTCAATGAAAGGGTAATTCACAGACTAATGCCACTCATAACTGAACTGGTTACTGTTCACATCCTTTCCCAGATGGAGGATTTATTGGAAAATCTTCTCTCTAACCTAGTCTTGTAGGCTATGATATGCTTTTTCTAAGGAAAAAATGGTGCAATTGACGGGCATATTGTGGTTAAGGGATTCCCACTCTTGCCTGTCATTTTAGTCAAGGTCCCTTTGGTAAGGAATAAAGCGAGTTTTAAAAAATATTTTAATGGAATCCTCTTTTCTGTATTGCATTGACTAGTTTATACTATTGTCACTCAAGCATCCTGATAATACATAAATACTTATAGATAGCCAAAATATGCCATATTTGTTGGTAGTTAAGTTATGTCATAAAGCAAACTGAAAGCAAACATAAAGTAGTCATAGATCTGCCACAGATTTTAGTTACTTTTTCAATCATAATTGCAATACACCAACATCTTGCTTGTTCATAACTTGTATCACTTGCAAATTTGATTATCCAAACTACAATTAAGAGCAAAGAAGTAGACAAAAAAAGCTCCAAATTAGCCTAAAATAGATGCATTGACTCTGTACATCAAATCTCCTTACGCTTAGTACATAAAAAATGTGCTATAACTCTTTTTCAGTGCCTGTTCACTTTTATATTCTGCCATCAATTTGAAAACAGTTAGGTAGCTTCTAAGACCACTTCAAATTAGAAGCAGAAAATTAGATAGGAGAATACTAATACAGACACCGTTTTTAGTGATACTAAAACCAGTATGAATGGTAGATCTGTAACAAGCTTGCAGGTATAAAAACTAAAATCAGGACAGCAGACCTACAAACTCAAAAAATATTTATACCTGTCACCACCATGTAATAATTCATGTTCATAATGACAGGTCTTAACTGTAATAAAGATAAAAATAGCAACTGCTATATACTATTTGGAAAAGGAGGGAATATACTTAAACACATCATGCTTCAGCTATTTATATACTTAGTTGCCCAGAACCTTTCACTCCCAATCAATTGGTAGATAATTTTGAAATATGTTAATGGGCATTTTGAATATGCACTTTTAAATTTTAATTGTGAAAAGTGCAATAAGGAGGGCTTAGCCCTATGGCCCAGTGGTTAATCCCTGTGGATAGGAAACTGGATAGCACATGACTGGCCAAGATTCAAATCCTGGCCCCGGTGGTTTGAAAAGTATGCCTAGCATGTGTGAGTGCATGCTTCAAATCCTGACAGGATAGAGAAATGGAGGAAAAAGGGTCATGGTATGACCTTGCCCCAGTGGGGGTGCTTTCTCTCTGGTGAGCACATGTACACTTTAGCAATTAAAGAAAAAGGAAATATGATAAAGACAATGTACAAGAAGCAGCACTTTGAATGACAGTTACAAGACTTATGAAATGAATAGAGGTGCTGTTTTAAATTAGTGAACCTTTAGTTGTAGTGTTTTAGTTAATTATTGGTTCATAGGAAAAGTCATGATGGATTTTTCTGTGTTTTTCTATGCAAAAATGCATCCTGACTTTTCTGATGGCCCAATAGATTTTAATTTTTTTTATTGTGATAATACCCAACCATATAACCTAGTGTCATGTGGTTGTATTGTTTTCTATGGCATTTTTTTATGATTACATAAAATATTATAACTTGAGTGACTTTTGTTTATATTTGTCACCCCTCACTTTTTAGAAAACAGATAAATACAGCAGCTACCCAGTGTACCACACAATTTATGAGACATTTGAACTGGTAGAGAATTTTTATGACCCCACATTTAAAAAACAGCTTTCTGTGGCTCAGTTACGAGGAGCACTGGTATATGAGCTTGCCGACTCTACAATCATTCCTTTCAATATTCAAGACTATGCAAAAGCCTTGAAAAACTATGCAACAAGTATCTACAATTTATCCAAGAAACATGACCAACAATTGAGAGACCAAGCAGTATCATTTGGTAAGAAATGGTTCAACGATACTTTATAATTTCTAAGGCAAGAATTTTAAGATACTATTTCTTCTTGTAATCAATGTTTCATCCTGAAATTTATCCCTGACTCACTAAGTCATTCTGACTTTAAAGAAAAAGCTTTAAACAAACACCCGTTAAAGAATCTGGTTTAATCTGATATGTGTGAGAGAGATAGTCATTATGGTGTGAAATAAAGTCATTATGGTTGAGTTAGTGCTTCAAACATTGGGCTGGTAAAATTTTTCCTATATTACTTTCTTTGAAAATATCTTTACTGTTATAGGAACAAAGTAGAAAAACTCAACAGTTGGGCCAACCCCATGGTCTAGTGGTTGGGGGAACTGGATCCCACATAGCTGCTGGTGCAGTTTCAGTCTCATACCTGGTGGCTTGAAAAATATGTTGGGTTGCTCAAAATTTTGACAGTACGGAAAAATAGAGGAAAAATATTTCCACAAGACCACAAACCATTGAGGAATGCTTTCTCCCTCTTCCTCTCTCTCTCTCTCTTTGGCAAGTACATGTACCCTCTGAAAATTTAAAAAACAAGAAAAGGAAAATACAGCAATATTACAAAAAGATTGATAAGTGGAGGGAACAATCAATTCCACTACACTTGTTTATTATTATTACTATTATTCTCATTACTACATATATTTTAGTGCTTGTTATATGAATGATATTTATATAGCTATAAGCATTCCCTTTTATACTTGGTCATTTAGTAGCTGTTGTTCTGTACCACGTATCTCCTGTGATGTAGGGATGAGATGTAGTGTAATAGCCTGGAATATTAGGCTCGACCATTTGATCACTGTGTGACCTTGGGAAAGTTACTTAACATTTTTATGTGTTAACTATTTCATAAGGAAAATGTCTAAATAAGAGAGGGGGGGGGATGTGGTGGCACCTGCCCTATGGTAAAAACTACTGGAGGTTGGAGGATTGAGGCTTCACTAACTTCTCTCTCTCTCTCTTTCTCTCTCTCAACATGTATGATTTTTGAGGTCAGAGGGTGGCATGGTAGTTAAAGTGCTGGACTCTCACAGTGCTGACTGTGGTTTGAGTCCCAAACCTGGCAGCTTGCTTTATCACTTTCTCTCTCTCTTAAAAAGTAGTAATAATAACTAAAAATAACCAAGTAAGTAATAAAGTATGTTTTGAAAATTGTTACGGAGATTCAGTTAGTATATAGAAGCAGTGGTGATTAACATTTAGTCCTCAGTAAGTGCTACCTATTATTACTGGTTTATTATAACCATTTTCTTTCACTTTTTTTCTTTTAGGATTTTGCTATAGGGTGCATGTGCTAGCTGGGGAGACAGAGAGAGGGAAAGTGAGAAACTACTCCCCAGGGGGGGATGGCAATGCTACAATCCCTTGTCCTCCGTTCTCCTTCTCAGATCTTGGGCATGGATACACATGCACCCAGTGTGATTTTCAAGCTGCCAGAACCGGGACTTAAATCATGGTTAACCATGTGGGAATCCAGCACCTTAACCACATGCTACCTGATGGTCCCACCATTTTATTTTATAATTGTGGGGGTACATAGTATTAGTATATACCCAGATAATCGAATATGTACCATCCTCCTTTGGTATCTATGGAGACTTGTTTCCAGGATACCCACCTCCACGGGATATCAAAGATCATGGATGCTCAAGTCCCTTAAATAAATGACGTATTATTTATTTTTGTAAAATCAGAGCATGTTTTACTTTGAATCATCTTTAGGTACTATATAGTACTAAATAGTTACTATACTATATTGTGCAGGAATAATTACAAGAATAAAAAGTGTGTTCCAGGTCAGTGCAGATATGAGCATGGTGGGCCCAACTATATAGTACACACATGAACTCGTTCAGACTGTGGCTGCCTGAAACTGTGAACCCGAAGATACAGCATGCTGGCCAGACTGAGTGCCAAGTAATGGGTTATTTCCTGGGAGATAGAAAGATGCATGAGATACACGTGTGGTCCTCAAAGAGTTTAAATGTTCAGGTGGGGAAGGAGAAGAGCACATCCAGAGGACAGGTTATTACAGGAGTATACAAAGAATACTGTGAGAGCGCATGGAATGGGTACCGAGTGGTCAGAAATGATTTCTGGATGTTATAATTTAAGGATTTTTAATTTTTGTGAAATTATGAAAACAAGTACTATGATCTAGAAACAAAACAAAGCAAAGAAAGTGAAGGAAATTGTGTTTTTATCAGTATGTTCTGAGTGTCTCTGCAGCGATGGGGGAAATGAAGAGAGATGAACTAGAGACATAAGCAGAGCCTACAGCAAGATGGACATTCACAGTTTTGTAGCCATCCAGCGCCTTCCTAAATGCCCTGGTTTCCTTCTGGTGACTTGACTCTTACCAGTTTGTATAAGTCAGGGTCAAATTAGGAGATAGAACCTATATAATTATGGTAGAAGGGCTCTCTCTATATGAGGTTAATTCCTATACCTTCTTACCTTCTTGGAAACGGAGTCTGAGCTGTTAATGCCTTTCTTTGCCTTATTTTCAAAATCTTCATCTCTGTTTGTACCTACCTACCAGATGAAATATTCTCTTATCTTTTACTCTCTTAACAACAACATTCTACCTAATGTACCCTACTTCGTTTGCAATTAAAACTCTTCATTTAGTTCCAGCCAAAAAAGTTGCTCAAAAAACATCTTCATGAAGGAATGAAGGTATGGTGAATGAAAGAATGAATGCTTAACCTACACTCCCTATCTCCAGTTCTTTACTTCCCACTACCCTATGCACCATACTGCCTTAGGACCTTACGTCCTTCCTGAAACTGTTATCCACAAAGTTGTCACTGATCTGTGTCACTAAATCCCACGGACACATTTCAGTTCTTAACCCAACTTTTGTACTCTAAAATTCCTTCTTCAGTACTCTATATTCTTAGCTTCAGTTATAACTACTTTTAGATTTCTTGATTTGAATGTGGTTTAAAAAACAATAACAATAAAGCTTAAAGAAAGTCTAGGGTTGAAAAGATCCTATTTTTCCCCTAATACGGAGTGTACTTCCACTGAATGTATCACTTATTGGCTTTGTGAATAATAGGAATCCCTTGTCCAGAGCTGTAAGTGCTTTATCTACAGAACCAATATTGTATCTCTTGCTTTGCCTGCATCATGAGACTGATTCAAGCAATATAAAGTTAAAATTCTATTTAGAAAATGTGGAAAACAATAAAAAGATTGTTATACAAAATATACTGAAAACCCAAACACTTTCCATAGGAATTTTGTGAACTGAAGAAAAGTTCGACCAGCCCAAACCTAGCTATCTTTTCTTAGAGTCTGTATATATCGGTTTGTGAAAGGTTATCTTTTGAACAAGATCTACGATATTTGAAAACAAGGATATCTTCTTTAATATTAATAGGGGCCATATCTTTTTTATAGCTATATCAAGTGTCTATCATATAGGAGTTGCCTCAATAAATAAAAATTGAATGAATGAATAAATGAATGCTGGGTTTCTGCTAATTTATGGGTTAAGAAATTATTTATGTCCAAACTTTCAAAAGTCATTTCCTTAAGAACAAACAGCATGTTATGTTCATCTAATGTTTCTTAGTTACATTATTTTCTAATACTTTTCATGGATCTGCCAGAAGGCGCAGCAGAGAAGTTGTCTCAGCATCTATTCAATCATCTCAGTCCGTCCTGGTGAAAGCCGGAAAGTGAACCTCTGAAATACGAAGACTTTGTGCTTACTAATTTATCTTCTGCTTTTCTATTTTTAAAAAGATTCCTTATTTTCTGCTGTGAAAAACTTCTCAGAGGCTGCCTCTGATTTTCATAGAAGACTTACACAAGTTGATCTGAATGAGTAAGTTTCCAATACCTACTGTTTTGAAAACCAATGTGGTTAGTAGAAAACACTGTCACTCATAAGCATCCTGCTCTCAATGATTACTGTTCTAATTATGGTCTGCAAACCAGCAACATCAGCATCACCTGGGAGCTTTTTATAAAGACAGAATATCAGACCTCCCAACCCCTTATCCCCATGCCCAAGACAAACTCAATTAGAACTCCACATTTTAATAAGATGCCCAGGTGACTGACGTAAACATTCAAATTTGAGGAGAACTGCTCCGAATGATAGACAAAAACTCATGCCAAGACAAGGGCCAGAGAGAGACTTGTCTTTAGGAGTTTGCATGACAAGAATTCTGACTGTAGTTGGCCTGATGGGCTTAAGCACATTTGTAATGTATTTCACTACAGTCCCTTGTCCAACTCTCCTACACATCAGTTTAGAAATCCTTTTTATATAGGTACTGTTTTGCATTTCACTTAATTTCTTGTCACTTTTAGGTTGAAATAGTTTAAAAAATATATTCAGAGTAACATATAACAAGCATAAAGTGTTCCACAGTATAATCTAGGTCACGTTTATTTTTTCAAACTTGGAATAAGCTTCCCCATCTCCCATCTTGGCTAAAAAACTCTAACAATCATTTTTAGAGGCCTCTTCCTTGGCTTGTAGGAGAGCCCATGAAACTTATTCATCTCCCCAAAAAGAAAGTCTAAAGATTCCAAGAGTGAAAGAGGATTCTCACCCCTGTGTCACTGTCTCCCACCCTTCTTCTGGTCCTGAAACTTTCATTCACTCTTTGTTGTTCAGCTTAATTCTGTTCCTTTCTTCTACAGTAGAACTTAGTACTGCATGTGCTAGTTCACTCTAACTTTCTGGGAGCCCTGGTTATCCTAGAAATAAGTAAAGGGTGCTTTTCGGTTCTTTTTGATAAGACTGATGTCTTGAAAAACAAAACAAACCATTTCTCAATAGGTGTCTCTGCTTATTATAAAAGTTAGAAACATGACTCTGCTGTTACATTCAACTTACCATATAAAGCTTTACTATGTTAATGCATGTTTTGTTCAAAATCTGTTGCTTTTAGAAGTTTACTTTCCCATGGCTGATCTTTAATATTTTAAAACACGATTCCATGCTAAGAATTATAATGGTATATTTCTTGTTCTCAAAGTCCCCTTGCAGTGAGAATGATGAATGACCAACTGATGCTCCTGGAAAGAGCATTCATCGATCCCCTTGGTTTACCAGGGAGGCAGTTTTATAGGTAAGAAAAGAACACGTGTTTCACTAGCCAGTACCGAATACCTCACTGTGACTGAAACAGCATACCCAAAGTCTACTTTAAGTAAAAGTCATCCGATGTGTGGAAGGTTAATATGTGTAATTTGTATATAAATATGTGTTACATTTATATATAAACATGTTTTTATGCAGATATACACAATATATAAATACATATGTACATTTATATACACATATATACGATATATATAAAATATGTAGCATATATAATCAAACATTTTAATATATACACATTTATATTCACATGAATGGGATTATGTATTTTACAACTTGCTTTATTCCCAAGAATATATTTTAGAGATCTTTCTGTGTCTGTATATGTAGTTTCAGTTCTTTCCTCTCATTGGCTGCATAGTGTTCCAGCTATAGCTTGCAACTACAGTTTTAACTGCTCTTCCTGAATTTTAAATTGGGTGAGTTTGTCAAACTCACCCAAGTTATTTATTGTTGCTGGAAAAGTAATGATGTCTGGAGAGATGGCATGCATAATGTACATTGTAAGTTAGCAGGCACAAGAACAAGATTAGTTTCCTTGTATATCTTCATCGGAGCTCTTGAGTGATCAGGTGCATTGTCTATGGGTGCACAGTCATATTTTGAGGGGAATCTAGTTTTCTGAGCAGTGGATCTCAATAGTGGGCTTAAAATATTCAGCAAACCATGCTGTAAACAGAGGGACTGTTATCTAGGCTTTGTTGGTTCATTTACAGAGCACAGGAAGAGTGGAATGAACATATCTCTTAAGGGTTCTATGATTTTCAGAATGTTAAAACAACACTGGCTTGAATTTAAAGTCACCAGTGGCATCAGCCCTAAGAGTCGGTCAGCCCTCTATGGCTTTGTCACCAGGCACTGACTTCTCTTAAACTATGAAAGTCCTAGGTGGCATCTTCTTGACAATGTAAGGCTGTTTCATCTACATTTAAAATCTGTTGTGGGGCTAACAGGTGATATAGTGGTTAAGGCAATGGACTCCTATGTGGCAGACCATGGTTTGAGTCCTGGACCTGGTGACTTGAAACTTGCGCTGGGCACGTGTGTGTATGTGCCCAAAATTCTGAGAGAAGAATGGAGGAGAAATGAGTGCCTCATGGCCATCCCACTGTGTGTGTGTGTGTGTGTGATTTCTTGTTTTCTGTCTTTTTCTCTGACAAGTGAATGCAGCCTATAGCAAAAATTTCTCAAAAAAAAAAGAATAAAGAAAACCTGTTGTATAACATAGCCATCTTTGTCAATGATCTTAGCTAGATGTTCTAACATGTGATGGCTTCTACATCAGCACTTGCTTTTTTATCCAGAAGTTTGATATTAGGAAGATGGCTTCTTTCCTTAAAGGTCATGAATTGATATCCATTAGTTACAATCTTTATTTCTGGAATTTCTTCACCTCTCTTATACATCATGGAATTAAAAAGAATTGGAGCCTTGCTCTGGATTAAACTTTGGTTTAGGAAATGTTGTGACTGGTTTGATTGTTAACCAGATTATTAACATCTTCTCCATGTCAGCAATAAGGGTGTTTCACATTCTTATCATTTATGTGTTTACTAGAGTGTATTTCAATTTCCTTCAAGAATTTACTTTTGCATTCCCAATTTGTGTTTGGTACAAGAGGCCTAGTTTTCAGCCCATCTCAGCTTTTGACTTAATCTTTTCTAGCTTTCCATTTAAAGTAAGAGACATGTAACTGTCACCTGAAAACTTGAGGGTATTATTGGGTTATTAATTGACTTAATTTCAATATCACTGTATCTTAGAGAACAGGGAGGCCCAAGAAGAGGGATAGAGATGGGGGAAATCGTTGTCAATGGTGCAGCCAGAACACACAGTGTTTTAAGTTTGATCTCTTGAATTAGCATGATTCATGGCATCTCAAAATAATTATAAAGTAAAACCAAAGGTCACTGATCATAGATCACCATAACAGATACAATGGAAAATTTTGAAGTATTGTGAGAACTACCAAAATATGGCACAGAGATAAGAAATGAGCACATGCTGTTGGAAAAATGGCACTGACAGGTTTGCTCAATGCAGGATTGCCATAGACCTTCAATCTGTAATAAATGCAAGTATCTGCATCATTCAGTAAAGCAAAGCACAATAAAATAAACTATGCCTGTATAGTTTTCTGAGATTCAGTAATCAATGAATCAGAAAATCACATTTTAAAGTAAAGTGTTTTAAATGAAGAGTGTATAAATCATTCATCTTAAAAATCAGAAGTAGGAGCCAGCAGGTGGCGTGGTGGTTAGGGGTGCTGGATTCCCACATGGCCGACAGCAGTTCAAGTCCCGGACCTGGTGGCTTTCTCACTTTCCCTTTCTCTCTCTCTGTTTCTGTTTGGTCAAATTAAAAAATAATAGTAACAAATGGAAACAAATAAATAAATCTTCAAAAACTCAATCTTTATGTCTATAAGTGTTCATTATAGAATTAAAATGCATCTTGGGACCAGCAGTTAGTGTAATGGCTATATCATTGGACTCCCATGTAGTCGAGCCCAGTTCAAGTCCTGGACATGGTAGCTTAAACTCACGCCGGGTGTATGTGTGTGCATTCCCAAGATCCCAAGAGGAGAATGGAGGAGAAGGGATTGCAGTGTGGCCATCCCCCCAGGGGTGATGTCTCGCTTTCTGTCTCTCCGTCTCTGTTTTTCTGGCGAGTGCACGTACCCTATAGCAAAAACCTCTCTGGAAAAAAAAAAAAAGCATCTTATCTATTCCTGCTATGATAATGAAATACCGGAGACTACTCTACATCTTAATACTACCACATTGTGTATGAAGCGTATACATTTTGCGTGGACACAGACATTTAAATCATAGCAGCATGCTTGATAATTTCTGTAAAGTTTATTTTTATGTGTGGGGTTACACATCAGTATTATCGCAACAAACATACGTAATATTTCCTTCATTATTCACCACTGAGCACATTTTCTAATACTCCTTTTGTTCTTTCTTCTCTGAGAAAATTTCTACATATATTGTTGTATGCAGTAGGCATAATGTCTTCCAAAGATGTCTTTTTCCTAATCCTTGGTACCTGCAAGGGTGTTTGTCATCTTACATGACAAAGGGGAATTAAAGTAACAGGTGGAATTAATGTAGCTCATCAGCTGACTTTAAAAGGGACCATAATAAGGATTATCCAGATGGGCCTAATGATGCATTCAGTCTTTTTGAAACATAGAGGCTGAAGAGCAAGTTAAGAGGGGACTATCTAATCTGCTGCTGCTGGAAAAAAAAAGAGTGTGGAAACCTTCGAGAAGCTGGGAAAAGCAAGAATACATCCTCCAGAAAGGGATGTGGTCCTGTTGTCATCCTGACTTTTAACTCAGTGACACTTGCATCAAACTTATAGCCTACAGACAATAATAAAATTGTAGTATTTAAGTCGTTAAGTTTGTTATGGGAGCAATATGAAAAGTAACACAGTCTGTAATGCAGTCAAAAGTATTAAATAATCTTTTGTTGCACATATCAAATAAAGCATTCAAAATGAAATCTTTGAAAGCTTGAGAGCATTTGGTTATGAAAGTCTAAAAGCACTTGCATTATTATAACTCATGAGTGAAAAATTACCATGTACTGAGGGAAAGGTTGAAGACGAAAGCTAAGAAATGTATATTGTAGCCTGTAATCTAGTTCTTGATACCTCTTGGAAATTTGGAAATGTTTATTATGGAGTATAATTATATCATGAAACACTTGAAAATTTTAAGAACTAGGCTAGAGTTTGAGTTGTTATGAATCTAGAATAGTTAATATGGCTCCCACATTCAAGAAAGGGTAATTGAATTGCTTAAGATTGTCTACTGGCTGATTATCTCTTTTGGATAATTATCTGCTTCTTATCTGAGAGAAATATGGAAAGGATTTAGCCTGAGAATAATTTATATTTATTTATTACTAAATGTCAAACTATACTGAAGGCTTTCCATCCATCATTTGATTCTCACAAGTTTTTGAGGACATGACTATAACTACCTTCATCTTTTAAAAAAATATTTAACTTTATTTATTTTAAGAGAGGGAGAGGGGGAGAGAGAGAGAGAGAGAGAGAGAGAGAGAGAGAGAAGAGAGAAAGCAAGCCGCCAGGTCCAGGGCTCGAACTATTGTCAGCTATGTAGGAATCCACTGTTCTTAACCACCATGCCACCTACTGGCCCCATCCACCCTCATTTTTAAGATGAAGAAACAGGTGCAGAGAGGTTAAAAAATGAGTGCAAGGTCAGAAGGTAAATATGATAGTGTTCTGATTTAAAACCACAGGTAGTCTTTCTTACTGCATAATTTACTTAGTCACTAGTCTAGAATGAGTTGGTATTATTATATTCATTCAATGTTTTGTTTCATAGGGACCAGCAGTTAGCATAATGGCTATGTCACTGGACTCCCATGTAGTCGACCGCGGTTTGCGTCTCGGACCCGGTGGCTTAAAACTCACACCAGGCACGTGTGTGTGTGTGCCCAAGATGCCGAGAGAACAGAGGAGAAGGGATTGCGGCGTGGCCATCCCCCCTGGGGGGTGATTTCTCACTTTCTGTCTCTCTGTCTCTCTCTTGTCTGTCTGGCGAGCGCACGCGTCCTATAGCAAAAACCTTTCAAATTTTTTTTTTTTTTTTACTTTATTTAACTTCTTTTATACATCTGGAACAAGTTTGCCTTTGGTATTTGCCAAAGGCCACAAAGGTATTAGATGTCATGCCAATGATTCAAATAGATTTAATTCCTGTAATTTTTTCCTATGCATTTTTTTTTGAGAGGTTTTTGCTATAGGGTGCGTGCACTCGCCAGACAGAGACAGACAGACAGAGAGACAGAAAGCGAGAAATCACCCCCCCCAGGGGGGATGGGCATGCCGCAATCCCTTCTCCATTCTTCTCTCGGGATCTTGGGAACGCACGCACATGCTCCCGGCATGAGTTTTAAGCCACCGGGTCCGGGACGTGAACCGCGGTCGACTACGTGGGAGTCCAGCGACATAGCCATTACGCTAACTGCTGGTTCCCACTATGCACTTTTATAATCCTCCATAAAAAGGCAAGTATATTAAGGAATACCTGTATGTTCTATCTCTAATTTCCTGACTCACATACAGATCAAAATATCTATTTGTTGTCATATTAAGATTTAAAATACAACAATGGTAAATCTGATGTACCTTGGGGAAATCTAAATGATTAGCATTATAAATTCCTCTTTTTCATGAATATTGACTCATCTATAGCTCTGTCTTGTCTCATACAGTATGTGTACATCTTTAGTAAGCTCTACAGTTTGACTATAGGCGCTAATTCCTGATAAATGTTCAATAAAGTATTATGTCCCCTTCTGAAAGGCAAAATTCACACACTTATTGGGGAAAGAAGTAGCTTGATATCTTTCATTATTTATGTGATGAAATAGGATGGCAACTGTAAAGCTTTTCTTCTAGGTCAGAAATTTGGTCTCTTTATGGAAACCCATATACATAACTGTTTTACCTTTATAGAATGGGCTTCATTATCCTTACAATTTATAATATTTTGGAAAGATAAGCTTCTTTAATTACTGCTTTTTAAAGCCTAAAACATTATGCGAAGATTTTGGATTGTTAGATCCTTAGAAAAGACAACAAAAATCGCAATCACCTCTCTCTCCTTATAAATATCTGTAAAACATACATTTTATCATATTTGTGGATGTCCCAGCAGTTAAACCACTACTGTATAAAACTTACAAGAAATAATCTTTCTTACTATATGGGGAGGCAATATGCTTTGTGATTCATGAAACATCCCACAAAGTGCATATTGTCAGCTCCTTTGTTTAAAATTTTTTTGTGGAAATGTCTCAAATCAATTGTTTTTGTTATGGAGTCATAAAAGTGAAGGAAACATACAACAAGGTATGATCTAACAAAAGGAAATAAATCAACAGAAGGCATATAAAATGAAATATATATATATACTTTTTAGTTCAATTTGCCTTCATTATGCTTGTCTTTTTTTTTTTTTCCTTTACACACATCATTTTTGCTCCAAGTAGCCACAACAAATATGCTGGAGAATCATTTCCTGGGATATACGATGCTATGTTTGATATTGAAAATAAAGCTGACCCTAGTTTGGCCTGGGCAGAAGTAAAGAAACATATTTCTGTTGCAGCTTTTACAATTCAAGCAGCAGCCGAAACTCTGAAAGAAGTGTGATGGGAACTCCTCAAGTAAGCAGCTAGCCATCAAAGCTGTTGCTACAAAGTCTGAGGATAAAATTAATCTTCCTTTTTAATAAGTCATGATGCCAGAGTGCTCTAAAATCTTGAAAATCTTGCTTTTCATGTCATGTTTTGAATTTAGACTTCCACCTTTGTACGCATGTAAAGTTTTATTGGTTCTTTAAAAATTCACAACTGCATCAGCAAAGTGTTAATCTAACAAAACCCTCCTGTCATGATATAAAGAGAAAGTAACAGATTTCCTAAAATAAACTGTAACAAAGAGCTTGAATTCTCAAACATTGCCAGTGCAGATCCAAAGTGTTACAACCACTTTGGAAAACTGTTTGTCACTTTCTTTTCTTTTCTTTCTTTTACTATAGGACATGTGTACTTGCGAGAGAGAGAGAGAGAGAGAGAGAGAGAGAGAGAGAGAGAGAGAGAGAGAGAGAGAGGAAGTTGAGAAATCCCCCCCCCTCCAGAAGGGATGGCCATGCTGCAATCCCTTCTCTATTATCCTCTTGTGATTTTGGGCATGCACGCACATGTGCCCGGCTGAGTCTTAAGCCACCAAGTCCAGGACTCCAAACTCAGTGAACTTTGTCGGAGTCCAGAGATATAACCATTATGCAATCTGCTGGTCCCTAGTTTGGCACTTTCTTATAAAACATATATTTAACCTATTATCCTGACAACATTCCATTTCTATTTACTCAAAAGCAGCACACACATACACATACAAATCATTCTTGCATGTGTGCTCACAGCAAATGAAAGTGGAAACAACCCAGAAGTCATCAATAGAAGAGTAAATTGTATAGCCCACAATATTGTTTAGCAGTAACAAAGAAAGTACTGTCAATAGATGCAATATTACTGGCAGACATGAAAGGGAAAGAAACCAGACACAAAAGTGTACATGATACATGATTCTATTTATATGAAGAAGTTGCAAAACTAAATCTATCATGTTAGAAATTAGATCAGTGATCTAATTGCCTGGGGATGTGGTAGACAAGGAAGAATGACTGCAAACATGCATCAGAAAACTTTCTCAGATAAATGAGAGTTTTTTCTATCTTAACCTGGGTGGTAGTTATGAAGTTATTGTATATATTTGTCAAACTTCATCAAACTGTGAACTTTAAAATGTACATTTTATTGTTATGGAAGTTAAGGATATTGAGGAAAGGGAGAGAGAGAGAGAGAGAGAGAGAGAGAGAGAGAGAGAGAGGAAGTTGAGAAATCCCCCCCCCTCCAGAAGGGATGGCCATGCTGCAATCCCTTCTCTATTATCCTCTTGTGATTTTGGGCATGCACGCACATGTGCCCGGCTGAGTCTTAAGCCACCAAGTCCAGGACTCCAAACTCAGTGAACTTTGTCGGAGTCCAGAGATATAACCATTATGCAATCTGCTGGTCCCTAGTTTGGCACTTTCTTATAAAACATATATTTAACCTATTATCCTGACAACATTCCATTTCTATTTACTCAAAAGCAGCACACACATACACATACAAATCATTCTTGCATGTGTGCTCACAGCAAATGAAAGTGGAAACAACCCAGAAGTCATCAATAGAAGAGTAAATTGTATAGCCCACAATATTGTTTAGCAGTAACAAAGAAAGTACTGTCAATAGATGCAATATTACTGGCAGACATGAAAGGGAAAGAAACCAGACACAAAAGTGTACATGATACATGATTCTATTTATATGAAGAAGTTGCAAAACTAAATCTATCATGTTAGAAATTAGATCAGTGATCTAATTGCCTGGGGATGTGGTAGACAAGGAAGAATGACTGCAAACATGCATCAGAAAACTTTCTCAGATAAATGAGAGTTTTTTCTATCTTAACCTGGGTGGTAGTTATGAAGTTATTGTATATATTTGTCAAACTTCATCAAACTGTGAACTTTAAAATGTACATTTTATTGTTATGAAAATTATTCAATAAATTTAATTACTAAAAAAAAAAAAAAACATGAAAACCACAAGTCTGGCAAGCAAACTAGTATAGCACACCTTCTCTTGTGAAATCACCATGGAGTGTGAATGATCAGGAACTTGTCAGTGATCTCCTTACTTTGGATAACTTCAACTCTAGCTAATAAACATATAAATCTAATAGGTGAAAAAACAGCTGTCCAAGATGTTCATACTCCAACTCCTGCAAGGAGAGTATATTAGCATCTGAAAATTTTTATGCAAAGCCTAGTGACCCAGAATTACGTGTAACCTCTAATTAACAATTCAATAATCTTGGTTATTTACTTTACCAAAGAGTTCAGAATTGAAAGTTAGAAGAACCTTTTAGACAAGCATACACTAAGAAGTGACAACTCAAATTCCGACTGCAAAAGGAAAGTACTCCTGCTATCCTTGTTCCTTGACCAACAGTTTAACTTAATAGTGCGGCAACATATTTCCTACATATCTCAATCATACTACAAGGTATCTAACTGATTCTGCAAAATAAGTAGCATGCATAGCAATGATGCTGAGTCATCAAGGTAAATTTTAAATGTGTTCTATTCATTCTGTGTAAGAAGGCAGTAAGGTATACCATTTACAAAGTGTTAGGTTTATAAAGTGTAAGTTTATAATTTAAGAAAATTTTTTCATATACATCTAACAAAATTAGGGAATTAATTAGGGAAAATGAAGACCTGAGAGTTACAATTTTGTACTACCCAACAGTATTACTATGCATATCTCTGGGCATCAGTTCCCTCCAACTCTTACCATTTCTGAAGCACAGTTTAGAAATCTCTGGTGGGATGTTCTTCCTGCTGCTAGCTTTATAGAAGACATGAACTGCCAAAACTTAAGTGGTTTGAAATATAAATTTGGAGAAGAACAGTAATTGTTGCAACTTGTTTTATTGCTAAGGTTTTTTGTTTTTATTTTTGAGGCTTTTACCATAGAGCACCTGAGCTTGGCAGAGTGAGAGACACTGAGAGGTAAAGCGAGAGATCACACCCCAGGGTGAATGACTGAGCCCCAATTCCTTCTCTTCCATTCCATCCTGGGATCTTGGGCATGCACACACAAGCGGGCAGTGATTTTCAGGCCACCAGGTCCTGGACACGAACCATGACCAGCTATGTGTGAGTCCAGTGGCATAATCAGTCACTTGCTGGCCCCTAGCTGACCATTAGAACTCTAGTCCCTAATCCTTTTCATTTCAAGGTCCTTAAATTTCTTGTCTCTTCTGTTTCCACTGCTTCTGCTTTATTTCATGCTTTTGTTTTTGCCATGGGGCGTGTACTCGCTGGAGACGGTGAGAAATCACCCCCCAAGAAGATGGTCATGCCACAATCCCTTTTCCTTCTTTTCCTGGGATTTTGGGCATATACACACTACTGGCATGATTTTTAAGCAGCCAGGGTTGGGACTCAAACTGTGGTTGGTCATGTGGGAGTCAAGCCGACCTTAACCACCATGCCACCTGCTAGCCTCATCATGCCCTCATTCAGACTGGTCTGTCTCTTTACCACCTCCAACTGCTCTTTATTATCAAGTGATCTTTCCAAAATACAAGCCTTATTATAAATACATGAAAGGGGAAAATGATGCTCAACAAACTTGAGTTCGTTGGTGTAGAAAATTAAAGACTAAAAGGTTAAAAAAAAAACTACACACAAGTACTGTGCTTCCGTTGATAAAGGTATTTCACATGGGGGATTGGGTCAGCAATTCTGATACTGATATATATGTATACTGTAATTAAACGATTAAGCAAATGGATAGTGGATGTTGGGAACCAGATTTTTCACTGTAGAAATGGAATGTTACAAGCAAGAGGAGGTTAGAAAGAGCTACGTAATAATGGATTAGAGCTGGAGAGTAAGAGCTTAACAGATATATTTGTTACATACAGAAACACTTGTTTATAAACAATATATACGTATTTTTTTCCCTTGGAACCAACTGAGAGTGCCTGGAGGCAAAGACATTCTAGTGGCAATAACTACACCCAGCACCCATATACTGGATTCTACACTACTCGCCAATGAAAGGAAACAGGAATCGGAGAAATGGGTTTCTGGCATTTAGGCAGAAAATACACAAAACAAGTATCTGGAAATGCCAGAAAATCAAGTATGGACTAACTGCACTACCTTCATAATCTCTAAATCCCAAACTGTTCCAAGCAAAAATTCACTTAAAAACAGTTAAACTGGTAAAATGGGAAAAAATGCCAAGCCTAAGCAACTCCACGCCTCCAATGATTTAAAAATTTTATTGCACATCAGACTAACCTAGAAATTATTCTGCACTCTTGGGGCCCCAGTCTCAGGAATTCCTGATTCATTAACTTTCTTTCCTATACAGGTAACTTTTGATTCAGATGCACCAAATTATGAAACTGTTCTTGCCAAATTTTATGTTAATCTGAAAACAAAGTTTGAAAATGTTTTTATTGAATGGCCTATATACATAGGAATTCCTATCTATAATTTATCGTGATCAAAATGGCAACATAGTTTTATTATTTGCACTGAGGATTCTTAAGCTCTTTTAGAGGTTGTTTAAATAAGCTAGAAAATCTGAATGGACAAATCATAAAAAAATTGTTCTTAATCATCTAACAAAAACCATCCAGACGAAAGGGCTGTATACTTTACATACTCACCAGAGAGAGAATAGAGAGGGAGAAAGCACCTCCTTATGGGGTGTGGTCACGCTGCAATCCTTTCTCTGCTCCATCCCACTGGATTTTTGCCTGGCATGTTTTTCTTTCTTATTTTTTGTCTGGCATGTTTTTCAAGCTGCTAAGGCTGGAATCTGAATGGTGGTCAGCCATGTGGGCTCCAGCTCCTTTAACCACTAGGCCACAGTCTGGCCCTATATAAATGTCTTTCATAAATTCATTTTCTAAAGAAAAACACATCTAACTAAAAACTTGTTCCTGGTTACCACACATTCTACTCAGTTCTGTTTTATGCTAATGATTTATAGAACCTATTCATTTCATTGACGAAAGCAGCATGCAACTGTGAAAACCATTTGAGTCAGACTGTCTGAGCGAAATCTTCACTACTCACTAGATTCAATTTTTGAGTATGTTATTTAACTAGTGCCATAAATTTGTTTCCTTGTCTGTAATATAATAATAGAACCTACCTCTTCAGATGCACCAAATTATGAAACTGTTCTTGCCAAATTTTATGTTAATCTGAAAACAAAGTTTGAAAATGTTTTTATTGAATGGCCTATATACATAGGAATTCCTATCTATAATTTATCGTGATCAAAATGGCAACATAGTTTTATTATTTGCACTGAGGATTCTTAAGCTCTTTTAGAGGTTGTTTAAATAAGCTAGAAAATCTGAATGGACAAATCATAAAAAAATTGTTCTTAATCATCTAACAAAAACCATCCAGACGAAAGGGCTGTATACTTTACATACTCACCAGAGAGAGAATAGAGAGGGAGAAAGCACCTCCTTATGGGGTGTGGTCACGCTGCAATCCTTTCTCTGCTCCATCCCACTGGATTTTTGCCTGGCATGTTTTTCTTTCTTATTTTTTGTCTGGCATGTTTTTCAAGCTGCTAAGGCTGGAATCTGAATGGTGGTCAGCCATGTGGGCTCCAGCTCCTTTAACCACTAGGCCACAGTCTGGCCCTATATAAATGTCTTTCATAAATTCATTTTCTAAAGAAAAACACATCTAACTAAAAACTTGTTCCTGGTTACCACACATTCTACTCAGTTCTGTTTTATGCTAATGATTTATAGAACCTATTCATTTCATTGACGAAAGCAGCATGCAACTGTGAAAACCATTTGAGTCAGACTGTCTGAGCGAAATCTTCACTACTCACTAGATTCAATTTTTGAGTATGTTATTTAACTAGTGCCATAAATTTGTTTCCTTGTCTGTAATATAATAATAGAACCTACCTCATAGGGTGATCATAAGCTAATATTCATTAAAATTCTTGTAACAGTGACTAGCACAAAACTGCTACACGTGACATTTACAAGAGCCCACTATGCCAACCACTGTATAGAAAACAGGGACACGATGGTCAGCCAAAACAGTCAAGGTTACATGAAATCTATGAGAATAAAGACATTAACAAGTTAGCCATAAATGAATACATATAAAGGTAGTAACTGAAATAAAAACAGTGAAGGAATAGTGTCTTAAAATAGTCCTAGAACAACCTAATTTCTCTTTTGGAGGAGGGTAAAGTACTATTGATACAAGTTGGAGATGTTTCCTTTTTCCAGACTTTATCACTAACCTTAGTTGTATAAAGGCAAGCCATGCAACAGTAGCTGGATGAATGTAAAGATACCTGGAGAATAGAGAAGTCAGGGGAGGCCAGCAGATGGTATAATGGTTATGTCACTGGACTCTCACATAGTTGAACATGGTTCAAATCCTGGACCAGTGGCCTAAACTCATGCCAACCACCTATGTGTGCATGCCTGAGATCCTGAAAGGAGAATGGAAAAGGGACTGCAGCACACCCATCCCCCCCAGGGGGTGATTTCTTGCTTTCTGTCTGTCTGGCAAGTGCATGCACCCTATACCAAAAATCTCTTTAAAAAAAAAAAAGAGAGAGAAACTCACTGACTTACTATCTACCAATTAAAAGAAACAGAAACCTACCAACAGGACTAAAAATTAAACTTAACAGCCAGCGATTAAGAACTAGACCATGTTATGATACTGGCAAAATACAAAGTAAATACTAAATATGAACATTAGATTAAAATAACTTGCAATGATAAAACCTGTAATGAAACAAGATTTACAAAAATTATAAACTGTTGGGCCAGCTCACAGATAAGTGGTTGGGAGAGCTGGATCACAAGTGACTGACTAGTTCAAATTCTGGCCTTGGCAGCTTAAAAAAATGTGTGCATACCCCAAATCCCAACAGAATGGAGAAATGGAGAAGGGAGTGCAGTATGACCACACTCCACTGAGGCTTTCTCCCTTTCCGGCTCTTGTGAGCACATACACACCATAGCAAATGAAAAAAAAACCTGTTAATGTCCAAACAGATTAAAAATACCTGGCTGTTAAAAAAAAAAAAAAGGTAGTTACACATTATATACTCAAATAATCTAAGACAAACACCAGACCTTATTGGGGTATATGCATAACATGCATTTTTAGGCTGCAGAATATCTGATTCTTAAAAACAATCAAAGGGCGAGAACCAGCAGTTAGCGTAATGGCTATGTTGCTGGACTCCCACGTAGTCAACCGCTGTTCACGTCCCGGACCCGGTGGCTTAAAACTCACGCCGGGCGCGTGTGCGTGTGTGCCCAAGATCCCGAGAGGAGAATGGAGGAGAAGGGATTGCGGCGTGACCATTCCCCCTGGGGGGTGATTTCTCGCTTTCTGTCTCTATGTCTCTGTCTGTCTGGCGAGTGCACGCACCCTACTTCAAAAAAAAAAAAAAAAAAAAAAAAAAAACACCAATCAAAGATCAAAGGGAGGGGGAAGCAAAAACCCTTTAAGGTTCTCTTCATTCTTTAATATTTGAAGAGCTAAGAAAAAAAAAATTAGGTTATACTTAATTTAAATCTCTAGCATGAAACAAAAATTAGAATGAAATAAAATTATTGTAGTCCTTTGCTAGTGTAGTTACATCAAAGGGATACATCATCAACCTGAAAAATGTTTTGACTTCATCTCTTATGTTTAACTGCTTGCCAATGTATTGGCTTACCAAAGTATATGGTACACTTTGCTTTGACTGCTATAGTAATTACTTTGAATGTATGAAAGATAAAGCATATTCTAGAGAAGCAACTCAATAAAGGTAACAAGCATTTTTTTATTAACTTTTTTGACAAACTGGTAGAGTAAAACATATTCTACCTAATATAATTGTGTCCCTTTATGAATGAATCTAAGATAAATATAATTTAGATTTTTATCTAGACAACAAATCTAAAGGTTCTTAGGAATAAGAAACAAAATTAAATGGTCAATAATGAAACTAGACTTAATACATAAATTATATATATATATACACACACACACACACCAGTGCTTTGTAACTAAATCTGAGGTTAGAATAATGCACTTGTTTTAAATAATATTTCAATCACACTTGACAGATTACGATATTGTTTAAGGAAAAACAGTCTCAAGAAGGAAACACTTAAAAAGGTTTATTTAACTATTACTATTACCTTAAATCAAATTAAGTATCAACCTCTTCTAAACAACAAACAAGATTTATATCTCTAACCAAAATCAGGTCTCTAAACATAAAGTAAAACTTCAAAACTTTTACATGTATCTCTAAGTACTTGACATTTATGTACTCTACTCAAATTGAATTTTTATTGTCCCAAATTTTGAAATACATCTCTAAGTACCGGACACTGATGTACTCTACTTGAATTCAATTTTTACTGCCCCAAATTTCTTATAGTATTTTAATGTCACAAAAGTCCAGTTGTCAGACTTTTAGTTTTTATTTTTAATAGAGCTAAACCTTTTAATTATATCACTATGTCTAACAGTTACTTGCTAAGTGTAGTAGAAACATATGCACTAAGGTTCTATGAACTAAAATAGTAGTTGTGCAAACTTCTCTAAGAATCCCACGAATATTAAGAAAAGGAAAACACTCAAGGGAGTTGGAAAATAAGCCCTTTATTTTCATGCTTAATTTAATCCTAATTAAGTTCCGAAACTTTACCAAGTTCTGCCAGCTTTGGCCTTTGTGACATTTTTAAATTTTATTCTTGAGTTCTGCATGGCGTCAGAAAGTAACCTTTTAATGGGTCCAATTAGCACAAATGGCCTGTGTGTTACCTGTATATGATAATAAAGTACAATACATAACCGACACTATATCACTAGAATTGTCAAACTCTTCATGAAAAGCTTAAACAAATACAGAATAATTAAGCTATGTAACATGTATTAACATAGTTGTCATAAAGCAAAGCTGAATGTTTAGTTTTCTGATTCCTTAATCTATTTCCACAAACCTTTAAGTCTATAACTTCAAAGTGTTCCTTCTCAGGGAGGCCAGATTATATACACCTACTTTGTATATGTAGCTAATTAAAGGCTTTCAGAGGGCTGGACTGTAAATCAAGTATGACTCAGTCACTACACTGTACAAGAACTTGAAATAATCAGCCGAGATTTTAACATTATTGCTTAGTCTTATAAAATAATAAATTTTAGCCAATTGATACTAACTCTTATTTGTTTCCTATATTCTTAAATCATACTGCTTGGCGAGTAATAAAGGTATTTATGTAGTTTTGAAGTTCAATTGTTGTAAGTGAATTCTAATTTATTAATCAATGCATATATTCCCCTTTAACTACTTTTTACACTACCTAGAATTAATCCTCCTAGGGGAAAAAAAACATCCCACATGGAAAGAGAATGCAGAGCTTCATCTAGTCTATAAAGATTTTCAAGTATTATAGAAAAAAAAAACATGGAAAAAACTGATTAAAAATAAAACATTTCATCTTGCTTTACTAATTATGGGATAATAGGAACAGATGTGAAACACATGTTCCTTATTTTTTGTTTAACATAATAACATACTAAGAAATATGACAATTATGTTTATGAGTTATTTCCGACCTTCTTCAAGTATAGGAAAAACTGCGGTCCTATCAGTAAGGAGAAATGATAATTAATCTTATGGAGCTCAAAAGGAAGATGGGAGGCACAAAAAGATAAATTTACTTTGGCTTTTAAGAACCTAATATTGACCCTGAAATGCCAGACTCAACAACAACAAAAAAACGTAAGATTACAGCAGCAAGCCACCACTTCACAACACATTAAGAATTCTGAAATGGGCAAAAGCCTTTTCTCCCTTTCCCACTCAATCAGTTATATCTTCTTTTTGTTTTTCTTGCTTTTTGGCTGCAGGCAGTTCAAGGCTTGCCCACTGCATGGGTTCAGCTTTTCTCATGGTGATCTCAATCTTTGTTGCAGTCATAGTTACATAACTCCGCTTTACATCAATCACCTATAACAGATCAAAGAGAATGACCATCAACCCGGATGCTTCTACTAGTTTCAGAGGAAAATGCGGATCCTTCTGAAGCTAATAATTCCAAACCAACCCAAGATTAAGGACGTTTTCATAGCTAGATTTGAACTTTTTGGCAAGATATAATGAAAAGTTATACCTCTGCATCAATGGTTCATTATTGCCCTTTATCCTACAAATAATATTGGGTTCTCTGAAGAGTCATGATGCATTTTTGCACAGAAAGACAAAAAATACATCATGATGTTGACAACCTAATACTTTAAATTTTCAGGGAAAAAAAAAAGCGATGATAGATTCACAATACTTACACCCCATAATCTCACATTTTGATGAAATTCCTTTTCTCCTTCAAAAACAATGTGTACATTTAACTGAAAAAGATATAGAAATTGATTAATTGATCAAATTTTAGTGGAAGGTTAATGATATCAATGCTTATAAAAATGAGAAGACTGATAAAAATCAATTGTGCTATTTTAAGAAACTGCCATTCTTTTTTTGAATTTGTGAAAACCATTATCAGAAGAGAAAAAGCGACTTGACATTTCATACTGAGATCTAAGTACCATATTACTAATATATCATTTCAGTTCCTTTTCTATCTCTAGAATACCTCAGAATTAACACTATTAAGCAGAGGATTTTAATTTAAAATAGTTTTCACAAAATCATTTTTTCATAAAGTTTCTAAGATCTTATCCTAACTCAGCCAAAATGAGAATTATTTTACATATACTAACATAAAAAACAATGTGCAGAAAAGAATTTTTACTTGAAGTTAATCAGTGTACATACCAAGGTACTATTTGCTTCTACTTGGCTGAGTTCTGGAAGTGAATTTTTAGCATATACAGAAATGGTGACTTCACCTCCAGTCTGATGCCAGTCATGTCTACATGAAACAACTTTTTTCCCCTGTAATATAAGAGAAACTTCATAAGTTTAAAAGGTGCCATATATTCAACTTCTTACAAATAGGAATTTGACCTATCTAATTGAATAAAAATTACTATACACACGTAATGCTTTCTGAGTAAGCAACTTTGGAAGTTATTATTAAGAGGTTTAAATAATAAAACAGCATGATTCAAAGAATGTTCATAGTTTTATGATGAGAATGATCTCACTTTTTCTCTTTTAGGGCTATAGTACTAATACATATTGAAACATTAAAGAAACTCCCACTATATTTTAACCATTTTTAACATTCTGTAAAATACTAAAGTAATGGTATAAAACCATTCTTTTGAAGACTTAAATGAGAGAGACATCTGCTTACCATACATCTCCTTAATCTCACGTTTAGGAACTTTCCATTTATTATTTTTTTTAAGAATTACTTTATTTTGGGGACCAGCAGTTAGCATAAAGGCTATGTCGCTGAACTCTCATGTAGTCGACTGTGGTTCGAGTCCTGGACCCAGTGGCTTAAACTCACACTGGGCACGTGTGTGCCCAAGATCCCAAGAGGAGAATGGAGAAGGAATTACGGTGTGGCCATCCCCCCTGGGGGGGTGATTTCTCACTTTCTATCTCTCTCTGGCAAGTGCACATGCCCTATAGCAAAAACCTCTCCAAAA